CAAAGAGGTCAACCCGCAGTGGACTGGGTGCCGGAGGAACCACTGGGCTCTGGGCCGCAGAGGCGGGACTCCCTCCGCTGACCGCTCTTGTCTGCAGCCAGACAGCTCAGCGTCAGATGGCTCAGCCCTCTCCTTGCCCTAACCAGCCAGCACCACGGGGGGACCAGCCAAAGGCAAGACAATTTCAGCCCCTCGTCTGGAAAAGATGAGACAACCAGCGGAAGGAAAAGCTGTGAAACCTGGGCTCCCTCCAGCGGGTCTCCGAGGGCGTCAAAACCAGCTTCTCTGGACCAGTTTGTAGAGATGCAACTGGGCGGGGAGAGGAGGATAGAGAGCAGCAACGTGACTTCTGACACCCCGGGGCCCCCTTTCCTGGGGAAGCAGCTCCCCCTCCTGCTCTTATCCTGACTTGTGGCAAAGAGGCCCAGGCCGGCTTGGCCTTCGCCAGCTCTTCCTCTCGTGCGCTGGCTTCCTGCCTCCTTCAAGATACCCAGCTCAACCCTGAGCTGCTGCTTTGAGGTCAATGGGAGATGGGCGGGCGGGGGGGGGGGGGGGTTGCTTTGCCTCCTCCGCTGTTTCTCTCATCTCTTCCTCCACGTAGTTCTTGCTGCAAGGTGGAAAGAGGAAGTGGTTCTCTTCTGTCAGAAGCTTTTGCAACAGAGTGAGAAATGCTTGAAAAAAAAAGGGGGGGTGGGGGGGGAGGAAGCCTAGGAGAGGTGTGGCGGTTGGGGTCACGGCGGGGCAAAACGGCCCCTGGAAACGGGTTCAGAGACACACACCACGCACACAAAACGGGACTCCCAGGGTCATTTTGGTGAAGGATTCATATTTGTGTTGTAGGAGACCCCACACCATAACACATCGGCACACGGCACCTCACAGAGGTCATTGCTGCACAACACAAGGTGAGAACAGGCTCTGGGGTCAAATGTTAAAACGCCTGCTGGCGTAACCCTCCCCTCCCTCTCCCCCTCCTGCCCTCCCCTCCTTTGCCGAGAGGCCACAAAACACAAGCAGCTCCCCCAGCCACGGCCCTCCCCTTCCCTGTCCAGCTCTCCCAGGGGGGAGGTGTTCGTGAGCCTCCCCCTCCCCAAAGCGGCCACCCTCAAGGGACCCTCGTCTGCTCCACTAAGTAGAGTCGATTCCAGGATGGTCTGGAAACCCCGGCCAGAAAGGAAAGCCACACGCCTTGCTAGGAAGGAGCAGTGAAAGGACTGAAAGCGAGACAGCCATTCTCGGAAAAGCCTTTATGTGGGTCTGCCCCAGACAGCTGGCGTTTTGCCATTCGGGGGGGAGGGGGCAGGGCGCAGGAGAGAGGGGCGCTGGGGGGGGGGTGTCTTCCAGGTGGGCAGACTGGAGAAGCAGCTGCTACGAAACCTCCTTGCGGGACACAATCCAGAGAGGCTGCTGCAGTGGAACAAAGCCAGCGGCCTTCGGGGCAGCTGCTGACCGGCGGGCTGCCTCCCCTCGGCTTGGGGCAGGCCGTGCCAGCCGCTCCCCACTCCGTCCTCCGCCCGGCCTCTCCAGCGGCTCCTCCACCAAGCAAGCAGAGGGCGCCTGGCACCTGCTGAGTCACTGCCAAGCAAGCCAGAACCCCCGCGCGCTTGCTTGGCCCGATTGCCTGGCACCTCCCTCTCTTCCCTCAGCCCTGTTACAACTGGACGGTGATTGTTGTCGGCAGCCACCATTCCCTGCGACACCCAGGCCAGAAGCTCCTGGCCAGCCTCCCGTCTTTGCTGGCTGGGCTGAGGATGGAGAGAAGCCCCCGCAGGGAGCAAGGATCAGAGCCTGGGCGAGAAGTCCCAAAGGCTGGCATGGGCCAAACGAGGCCAGTTTCCTCAAAGGCCCTCTGAAAGCACAGGAGGCCAGGCTGCCAAGAGCTCACCTGCTTGGCTGCCCCTCCCTCTGCCGCCCAGCCTCAAGGCACCAGGTGCTCCTAGCCGGCCCCGATAAGAAGGCCCATTTCCTCAGGCGCTCAGAGCCGTCTCCAATTCAGCTGCGACCCCCTGCCAAGGCCACCGTCCTCTGCTCTCCCAAGGAGCGGGCTTCTTGCTTTGTCGGAGGAGTGGGCAGCGTGCCATGGCTTGCTCGGTTCCCAGGGAGGCCACGCAGAGAGCGGCACCGAGCGCCGGCACTTCCCAGCTTGCGGGCTGTGTTTGGGGGGGGGAGGGGGTCCCCACCCTCGCTCGCAGCCCCGGGAGCCGAGCCAGGCCATCGGGAGTCCTACTTGTCCAAAATGAGGAAGAGCAGCAGTAGCAAAAGGATGGGCAGGAAAACCAGCAAGAGGCTTAGCATTTCCGCTGCGGCCAGAGCCAAGAGAGCCGTCCGGTAGCACCAGGAGCAACGCCGCTCCAGCTCTGCCAGGCCACCCACCAGGCAGGCTGGGTAGCGGAGGCAGGGGAGGAAGCCCATCACGCGGCCCGTGTGGAAGCGGACGTGGAAGTGGTGCGCCAGGCCCCCCCCAGAACCCAGGCTGCCGAGGCGGCAGCGGGCTGAAGGCGGGAGGCGCCGGGCCCTGGGCAGCGCTCAGCAGGAGCAGCTCCTCTTGCAGTTTGCAGATCTCCCACTCCATCATGGGAGTCTTCTGGCGGCAAATGGGGCACCGCACACGGCCAATGTCGACCGCGCTGCCTGCCTGCAGGATGGCCTGCAGGCACTGGCCGCAGAGCACGTGGCTGCAGTTGAGCACGGCCGGCTTGCGCTGATCTTGGTCGTAGAGCTCCGTGCAGATGGGGCACTCCTGCTCGTCCCCCACGGGGTCCTCGGCTTCGATGCAGCAGGACTGCACCAGGGACCCCTGGGCACCCCTGGCCGGGGCTTGGCTCCCCAGCAGGCAAGCCCCTTCCGTTTCCTCCTTTTCCCCCAAAGTCAGCTGGGGCGCATTTCCCGACGGGCAGCTCTCCTCCTCCTGCCAAAGCGCTGCAGGCCCAGCTGTGCCACAGGCCTCTTCGGTCACTGGGGAGCCTTCAGAATCCACTCCCGCCTCATCCAGACCTCCTTTCAGATGCCAAACGGGGGAATCGATACTTGCCTCCTCCTCCTCCTCCTCCTCCTCCCTGAATCCAGAGGGGTCACCTGCTGCTGGCCCTCTCCTGGGCCCTTTGCCTTCACTGCCATCCTCTTCCTCCTCTTCCTCTTCCTCCATAAACTGGGCACCAGTCCGCTCTTCCTCCAGCAAGCCTTGCTGTAAGTCGCCCAAGGAGGGTGCAGCCCTGAACACAGACACCTCCTTCTCCGGGTGAACCAGAACAACCGGCTCTGCCCCAAGGGCTGAATCCGAGGGGATTGTCCCCATCCCCGTCTTGCTCCCAGCTTCAAGGTAAAGCAGTCCGGAAGCGGATCAGCAGCTGCCGTCTTCTGCTTCCCGGGGCCGAAGTTGCCCGTGGGACATGGCAGGCTTCCATCTCGTCTAGCTGGAAAGTCTCGCCCGGGAAGAGCTCCGGGCTCCACGGCCCTGTGCTCTCCGGCTGGGCGGCCTGACCCAAACAAGTTGCCAGCTGGAAGGCTGGCACCAATTGGGATCCTCTTTCAACTTGCGACAACCGAGACTCTGCACCGAAGGTGGAGCAGCTTCCTGTCGGCTGCAGGCCAGGGGGCGGGGCCGGCTGAACAGGTAGGACCATCCAGGTTGCTCCATGGGCAGCAATGCTGGCAGGCGCAGCTCCTGTTCTCGCTGCCTTTCTGTTGGGAGGAGCTGGGCTGCCCCCCTTCTTTGGGCTGGAGGGGGAGGAGGGGGGTGCTGCTCTGAGCAGCAGCAGCAGCGGCTGCCATTCTAAGCACTGCCTGTTTGAAGGGGGGGGGGATCTTCTTTGCAGCTTAATCGACAGCCCTGCTCACAGGGACGACTGCTGGCAGCCTAATGGAGGCCGAGAGGCCGATTCTGTCTCCCCGTTGGCCTCAGTTCTCGTCCTCTCTCCCTACCCCGGACCCTCCTGCACAGCGTTTCCATGAAGGCCAGATCCTATTCGAGAGACCTGGAGGATGTGGCTTCTGGAGCGAGGCAAACTCTACCCTTGTGTTGTTGTTTTTTTTTGTTTTTAAACTGTCCATGTTCCCCAGCTCTCCACTGGCACCCATGTGCCACTTCCAGGTAGGAAGGAGTGAGGTCAGCTTTGGCTCAAGCCGTGGGGCCCAGCCTATTTTTCTCTGCTCGTGGGTGGCACAGTGGCAGCAGCCACAGCAGAAGGGCTGAGCTGGCAGCAAGAGAGGGCAGGAGCGGTCACATCTGGAGGAGTCCCGAGTCTGGACTGGCCAGGACTGGACTTAGCCTGGCTGCTGGGCTAAACGGCCTGCCTCCCGTGCCTCTGGCCTTGGCTGCCTGTGAAGCCAGCTGCTTCGTGCTGCAGGAACAGAAGCCCCAGCCAGGTTAGCTTTGGGGGGACCCCAGACAAGGAACCCCCTGAAAATGACAAGGGAACGAAGGTCAGTCGGGCGAAAACAAGACCTCTCTGGCCAGAAGCTGGCTAGGAAGTGACGGTCCCAGCCTGACCTCTTCTGGGGCTGCTTGGAGCAGCTACTCAAATCGAAGGGACATACTTTCTTCCACTTTTCCCTTGATCTTTTCACCCCCCGGTTTGAGAAGAAGATGTTATATTCCCCCTTTTGCAAACCGTGAAGGAATTCTACTTCTTACGGTGAGAAAAAGAATAAACTCCCTGTCCGGCGACTATTTTCGCAAACTCTGTAGGGGCAAAGGCGGTTGGGTGAGACGCGACACTCGCACGCCACAATTTAATATAATTTAAGGGAGTTCAGTGGGGCTCCTCTCCCGTCTTCTCACGCAAGAGTGAAACCACCGTCCTCTGAATGCCTGCAGAGCGAGGAAGGACTTCTCAACCTGTGTCCTGGCAATGGCCGGGCATCTTTCCCAGGGCTGTCTTGCCATGGACCGCCGATCCCTTTTGGAACGAGGCAAAAGGGACCCGGAGATGTCCCAGTGGACACCGGTAAAGCCCTTCCACCAGCCCTCCTCACAGTCAAAGGCAAGAACCGAGCGGCGATAGTCTCCAATGGCCTGGCTTGGTTTATTGGTGGTGATCACCGCACCCGCTACAGCAATTTGGTCCTTGGCGATAAGCTTCCCCAGCCGTCCCAGATTCCTTGGCAGTTCAAGACCAGGTCTCAGCTTGGAAGCGGCGCGTTTGTGCCAAGAGGGCAAGATATTCCTCCGCTTCTGCAGCAGAGAGGCCTCCTTCCGACTGGAAAACAAACTTCAGGGCTTCTGCCACGTCCTCTGGCATCTGCTTGGCATTTCTGGAAGAGAGGGGTTGCCGTAACAGGAGGAGAAAGTGGTGACAGCAAAGCCTCAGGGCCCGGTGGGCACACCGGAGCTCCTAAGGGCTGCAGAAAGGTGCGAAGATTCAGTTCTGCCTGGGCCACCGCAGAAGGACCCCGACCTGGCTGATACCTGAGAAGATGCCACTGTGCCCCGTGGCCGGTGGATCGAGCGCTAATGGCCCTCCAGCCGTGGCTCAAAGTGGAGCCAGACCTTCCTTCGATGAAGCTACTTACAAGAGGAGACCAGGACCAAATCCGCGTACACCGATCCCCGTATGTTGTTTCTACATCAATGCTTTATATAACCAAGAAATTATACAAAAATCTAATGCAAATTCTGTATAAAATAATACCAAGTATCAAAAGTCACTGTTACCTTTTTTTTTTAGGTATTAAAACAAATCCTAGAAACATATTTAAATATCTTGAGGTGGGGAGGGAGGGGGGAGAGTAAAGGGAAGTTGACAATTCAGGAAATTGTTCTGGAAAATCTTGGCATCGGTTTTCTTTCCCCAGAAGCTTTTAGGGATTATTTTTGGGGCACGTGTGAAAAGTTGCTTTGATTGTGTCACCGTTGTGATGTTTAAAACTTCAGACAACTTTGAGGAGACAGTGTGCAACCTGCATCTGGGCTAACCACGCAACGCCCAGTTCCTCCTCAAGGCTGGCCTCCCGTCTGCAGAAATGTGAAAAAACTCGTTTTGGCCCCAGAACTGGCTCGACGCGGCCTCCACCCTGACCTGGGCAGGAAGGTGAATCAGGCGTTTCCGCCCAGGATACACACAAAGGTGCAAACAGGCCACACGTTGGAAGAAGGCGAGGCTTAAAAACCCAGGAAATGCCGCCAACGCTGGAGTCAGTGCAGACGTAAAACCAAGGACCGGAGCCCCAGCGTGGGAAGGAGGGCGGAGGGTTAAAAGCGATTCGGATAGCAGCTCCTGTCATCGCAAAAGATCCACTCTCTCTGCCCAGAAGCCGTAGCCGCTGAGTCAGCGCGGTTGCCTGACCCCCCGCCGGGACCTGAGGGTCCTCGTGATGGGAGTTCGCTCTAAATTCTAGCACCGCTCAATGCTACGAATTGGCTTTCTGTCCCCGGATGGCAAGAACCCTTTGCTTGCCAAGAGGAACAGGGGGAAAGTGCAGAGTGCAAAGCACCAGGCCTGTCCCTGAGCAGCCCTTTGGAGGAGCCACCACGGACTCCACCGGCCGTAGGATTCCTTCCACGCCCTGCCACTGAAGGGGACGGATATGCTACAAAAAATCCTTGTAAACGGGAGCCGGAGTTTGCTCGGGTGCTGAGGATGACTGGACAAGGGCTTAACTCTTTAGGCTGCTTCCTGGCACTCACCCAGATAAGTAGATGTGGGCCTCCTTGTGCTTCACCAGTTCCCACACGAGCGCCGCCTTCTCTCTGATACGGTGCTGGACATAAATTTTCTCTTCCTGTGGGGAGACGCCACAAAAGGTCAGGCAACCTCAAGCGATTTAGGCTCCGACAGGGAGCAGAGACAAAGACGGGGAGGGGGGTACTTGTTTAACCGTCCAACTGGGAAGCTCTCGAATTGGGCTCGGGGTGCAATCGCGTAGGAGCCCAAACAGAGGGTATACCGGAACAAATGGGAAGCTGTTCCGAGAGTGACTCTTCCACGAAGGCACACGCCGGCCTCTACAGAGACGCGCTTGGGCTGCCCAGTGAAAAGATACGAAGCAGGGAAAACGTCGTTCTTATACGGTCGCTTTCCTCACGCTATACTCCAGCCTGATCTCTGGTTTCCTTTTCCCCCTGGGCGAAACGAAAAGGCTGCTAAGGACCCTCAGCAACACGGAAAACCATATCCAACCCTGGTGGGAGACGAACCCTCGGAACGCCTGGGGTCACGGCGGGAGTCCGGCCTGAGCACCGGAGTTCCCAGGAAGGTGGCGGCGAAGGGAAGCATTTCAAACATGTGGCGTGACAAAGCTCCGCTCGGGCTTTCGGAGGAAGGCCACACCAACTGCGTGTTCTCAAGCAGCCACCGCAGGAAGCTGGGCAGGACACAGGGCCGCTCCTGTAATTGTTCTCTTCCTAGCCTTCTTCCGAAAGGCATCTTTCTGACTGTTTGGCCAGAGCCAAACTGCACGTCCAGCAGGAACACCCTGTGTCACCCCTTCCTGGGCGTGAGCCACATCAGAAGACCAGTCGCAGGAGGCCACGGGCTTGGCTAATCCTCTGGGCTTTAAAAGAATGCCGCAAAGGGAAGGTGGTGGCCAGGAGCCCCTTCTGCAGGGCTGAGAATTTGTAAAAGGGAAGGAACCATTCCCGCCGTGCGGTTTCCACCACCCCACTCCACCTGCTTGCAGAAATGGGACAGAATTAAAGCCAGAGGCAGGGCTGAAGCTGGACTATTACACGCCCGACTCAACGCTATTTTCCTTTCCTGAGCAGCAAACCACTTCCTGGAGCCTCGGGAAGGACTCTTGATGTAAGGTGGATTGTTTAAAAAAAAAATCTGATGCCTCCATTAGGGAGAGAACTGGACACCTTTTGCCCACAGATTCTTCGTCAGTTAATGCAGGAGAGAGCCAGAGTCAGGCCTGCCTGACTGGAAATAGGCAGCACTCTTGCCATATCGAGCCCGCATTTATTCAGTATCATGGACTATAGAAGGAACAGAACAGACCTCCAGCCCTTGCTTCTCAATGGAGACCGAGTGGAGCAAGTGGCTAGTTTTAAGTTTCTGGGTGTTACCCTAAAAGAAGACCTGACCTGGGGGTGCTCGCATTGCATCCCTGGTCAAAAGGGCCCAGCAGAGATTAGACTACCTGAGACTTCTCAGAAAACAACAACTGAATAAAAAACTGCTGGTGACCTTCCACCGCTGCACCATAGAGAGTATCTTAACTTACTGCACCTCTGTATGGTTTGCCAATTGCACAGGGGCAGGTAGGACAGCGCTCCAGAGGGTTAATGTCATTGTCCAGAGGATCATGGGTTGCCCTCTCCCCTCTTTGGAAGAGCTTTATAGTTCCCGCTGCCTTAAGAAAGTTCAAAACATTCTCAAAGATCCATCTCATCCTGGGCACCCCTTTTTTTTAACTACTACCATCTAGCAGATGGTACAGGATAATAAAAACAAGGACAAATAGGCTGAAAAACATCTTCTATCCCTGGGCAGTAGCTCTGTTGAATTCTACCGTATAGTGCGGTATCGGGGGTTTTCCATTCAATGTGTGGAGTGTGCAGGATGTGTGTGTTTGTGTTTATTTTCAGGGTCATGATGTGCACTGAAGATGGTGCTTGATTTCGTTGTACGAGGTGCAATGACCATAAAGTAAACTATCAGAACAGCAATGGATCCAGACCTTAGGCTAAGTGGAAAGCCCCGTCTGCTCCAGTGAAACAAAGCAAGGGGCAGCGAGGATGGCTGGATCTTGTGACCCAAAGCACCGCAATCTGTGGTTTTTTGCCCCCAAAGGCCAGGCAGTACTGGAGCCTGTCCACCTTGAGTAAAGGACCTGCCACCCAGCCGGCTTCTCCAAGGTGAGACCACCCCTCAACAGAAGGAGCCCAGCTGACCAAGCCACAGAAGCAGGTGGGAGAGAGGAAAAACAGCTGATATGCCCCCCCACTCCACCTCCTCCAGTGCAAACATGGCTCCTGCTTCCAGCCTTCCACGGAGGACAGTTCCAGAGCCCTCCTCGATCTGCCTTACGTCCATTTCATGGGAGCGGAAATCCGAAGTTTCCGGCTGGCACGTGGGGCGATTCCTTCTGCCCCCCGCTCTCCCTCCCGGTTCGGACCCCTCCAATGCCCATTGCAGCAATCCCGGCTGAGAGGCATCCTGTGCTTGCATCCTGTGCTTGGAAGGGCACGCGAACCCCCCCCGCATGAGGCTGCGCCCCGCGGGATTTACCTGATCCCGGGAGAAGGCCACAAAGAGCACCAGGAGGCCCTTCTTCACCAGTTCTTCCCACTCCGCCTGGCAGTAAAAGTCTCCGGCTCTGTTTCGGCAACCGAAGAACAGGCAGTTCCCTCCTGCGGGGGAGACCAAGAGGGGGAGGGGGGCGGCATCAGGAAGGTCAACGGCCAGAGCAGCCAACTGGGCAGGAAGAAGGGTCAGCTGGGCTTGTTTGCTAAAGGCTCTGGGCAGAGCCATCGCCCATGTCGTCATGGTCTAAGGGAGACTGGCCAATCGATGCCATGCCGGACAGGAAAACAGAGCCAATCCCGGTTCCCGCTTGACCGATGTGCGGACGGGGCAAATAAGGGCATGTTGGACATTTAATGGCCGACAGCTGGAATCAAAGCAGCGGAAGAGATCGCACTTCTGACAGCGGCCATTCACACGGCTGCTAAAAAAAACCCGAGAGGCCTCTGACGTGGCACCCAAGCGGAGACGGGAATATGGCCGAATTCTCCCGTGCGCCACCCTCCTGAAAACTACGGGTGAATCCACAGCCCCTCCGGCCGAAAACCACAAGCGAGACCACGCCGTACGCGTCACGGCTGTCCCAGGTGTGCTTGGGCGACTGCTCTCAAGATCAACTGGCCAGACTTTTAGAAGTTTGCCTCGCCCGCACAGCGACTTCACCTGTTTTGCCCTGGGCCACTCGCTCCTGTATTGCCGCTCTAAAAACCGCCACGCCAGTGCCGGGCCCGATCATGACTGCCGGAGTGGCTGGTTCCCCCGGGAATCTCAGGGTCCCTTTCTTCACCCACAGAGGAACCAGCACCACCTCTGGAAAAGGAGAGAGGAGCCGCTGAAAGGAAAGGAAAGCGAGGAGGCGTGGGGTGGGCACAGCGCCTCCCCCAGCCTCAATTTGGGATCTTCGAACAGAGAGGGCGCAAAGCTTATTCTTATTTTAAGTGCTTATTTTACTGCTATTTTCTTCTCTTGATAGTTGGCAGTGGAGTTGTTAGGAGTTCGGCGGCACACAAACGTGACCGGATAAATAGTCCCCAATACACCCCCGTCCCTCCCGTTCTGTTCACAAGGGTCTTGATGGGGCGAAAGCAAGGTAGCTCACCGTTCTGTGGGTTGAGAGAGGCCAGCCAGGTGGAACACAGGCCCCGCCGAGCTTTACTGAGGGAGGTCTTGTATCGCACCACAGCCAGGAGGATCTGAATCCGGCTGGGATGCATCTGGGAGGAGGAAGGCGGGGGGCAGAGAGAGAAAGAGAGAGAGAGAATAAAGCCCTGGACCCCGGATGGAGGCCCTTGGCGGAACTGAACTCGGGCAGCGGGGAGAAAGTACCTGATGCCCCGAGTAGCAGAAAAAACACCGCCCCCCTTTCTTGAAAAAATAAAAATAAAGAAGTGGCGGTGGTGGTGATGCCCATAAGCAATCAGTTGTTTTTTTTGGGGGGGGGGGGGGGGAACTGGCCAGACACAGGCAGAAAAACTCCCCCCTGCATGAGAGTTTTATTTCTTTGGTTCTGTGGGGAAAGGGAAAGGACCAGCACAGCCTGTGATGACCTGGGGCGCGGCCCAAGACAACACAGTCATGTGTGTGTGTGTGTGTGTGTGTGTGTGAAGGAAGCATCCATTTAGCATCAGTTCAAAGCACCAGTCAGCCCCCCCCCCTGCCCCGTTCCCCTCCCCACCCCTCCCCTCCAGGCACCTGCATACTCTTACTAGCATTGAGGAAGCGATGGAAAAGGCCCGGGGCCTGACTGGTGGAATGAGGTCTGGCAGGTAATTCCAGGGAATGGCACACGTTGTGTGGGGGAAGTCGCAGAGGACCTTGGGGGAAGGAGGGGAAAAAAAAAAAAAAACCAGGCTTGATTCAGGTTAAGTGTCAATGGCAATAATAAAAGAACCCGACACGGAAAAGGAAGCGGCGACATTTCTGCTGCCGGAAAGGACTTCTCTGAAGCAGCCAATCCCGAAAGAGAACCTGATGCAGAGGATCTGGAGGGTTTTTTTTTTTAATGGAACCAGACCAGCTGGGGCAGAAAGCACCCGGGTAAATGGTTGCGAGATCTCAAGCACCAGAGTTGACGGGGTTTCTCCAACCCAGAGTTCACAGAGGGAGAAAAAACGAACAAAATCGCAGCCACGCAACTAAAAAGGGCAAAGCTATTTGAAGGGCAATGGCTCCTGGCAGGCTCTGAAGGTGATCTGGACTCATCGAGGAAGGTGGTTGAGTTTGTTGACAGACAAGGAGGCCAAGACCGAAACCTTCCGATTAGCAAACAGCAGCCTTTCCCCGTGGCCGGGTGCAGATCCGGAAAGGACGCTGGCTTGGCCTACCTCAAGTACGGTCCTGCGGGGCCGGTTGCAGTAAGCGAAACGCTCCTCCTGGCCTTGGGCTGAGCTGAACTCCTGCAGCTTACTTCGCTCCAGGTCATTTGGAGAGAAGTGGGAGAGGAACTCGAAGAAGGAGCGACGAGGGACGCACGTTATGTCAAGGTAATGGGTCGCCAGGTAACGGACAGTGCACGGCTGGGGCAGGTGAGCGGGGAGAGGCGTACCTGGAACGCAGGAGGTCCAAGAAATCAACAGGACCGTGGGTGGCTGAAAGCCTACTGGGTTAAAGCTCCTTGGGAAAGGGGCTAAAATCTCGCTTGAAGAGCCTGCAGAGGGAAACTATTCATACCTGCCTCTGTTGGCGTCAAGGTGAAGCAGGCATCTGGGTCCAGGCGAAGGAGATCACAGAAATGCCGCACCTCCTCAGCGTCGTTCTGTGGCTGGATCATCACAACATCACCTGCAGCGTATCTGCCAGGGAGAGGCGAGGCCTGAGATCTGGGATCCTTGCTGGGGATCAATTTCAGAGACTCTCGGGGTTCCTGCTTTCTTTTAAGACAAGCTGCCCTGCGAAACCTTGTCGGGGACCCAGGAAGCTGCCTGCAACCTCCTCAAGTCGTGGCAACTCTTAATGAGGGCTGGGCGGGGGATGTTCCCTTGCCTTCCTTTTACCAGGCGATGCAACCAGGGTCTAACCTGGACGCCGGGCGATGGACCCTCCCTTCTTGGTCCTCTTCTAACCCTTTATCAGCGCACTCCACTTGAAGACCCAGGAGAGAGCAGCAAAAACGAACCAAGGAAACTCACTCGATCCCAGAGCCGGTGATATCAAATTCAAGAAGACGGACGTCTTGGAAATGGGATTCGGAGGTCACCCTCTCGTTGGAAACCATCCGGGCACAGAAAGGATTCCTTTCTGATGGAACATCGCTCAAGGCACCTTCCGGTTGTAGCGCCGCCCTGCGGAGGTCACCAGAGGCCTCATCCAGGAACTGAAAGGTGTACTTGGGTGGTAACCTGTGGAAGTCAGAATTGGGGTGATAAGTTGCCTTTCCCCAGCAGGTGTTCTGACCCAAACCTGGTTCCACGAGAGTAAACACAAAGGTAACAGCAAAACCTTTTCCTGGCTCATTTACGAATCCTGTTTCTTGACAGATAAAAGGCGGCGTCCAACTAATTAGCTCTGACAAGAAAGAGCCTTGCCAAGTTCTTGCAAGGCTGCCATGAACAACAGAATAAAGTTCCTAAACCATAAATCAAAGAGTCTCCAAAACACCAACTCAGATATTCTAACGTCCACCAGGCTCGAGTATCAAACTTCTTTGCCTTCTGCAAAGAGCTGCAGTTTCTCATCTGGCTTTTATCTTCTCAGGGAGGGGCCATTACCTTGCAACCTTTCCTTCAAGCAGCCCTACGCGCACGCACACTGAGCACAGGCTCCTCGGGGACCTCTTCCTCACTGCTGCCAGCCTCCACCATCTCCAAAGGCAGCATTCCACTCCCTGGTGGTCCTGGCCCCACCCCTGCATCCCACGCAAGCCCCTCACCTGAGTCCTCGCTGAGACTTCAGCCGTCCACACCTGCTGCTGGCGAACCACAACAGCAGGTGGGGCAGGCAGGAGAATGCTGAATAGCTGTGGCAAACCCATCCTTTTTTTTCCTTTACCTCCCTTTAAAGGCAACCCAGTTCCGTTTGGTTGGTTCAAAAAGGAAAAGAGTTTCGATTTTATTTTAACCAACACGTGCACAAAGGTAACCCACGTTTCTATGTCACTTTTCCTTCTTGCTGTACTTACAAAACATCGGGGCTAATCACACAGAGGCCGGGAGGAAGAGGATATAGAGCTAAGATCTTTTCCCATAAACTCAAAAGCCAGGGGTCGATGGCGGCATCCGGTCTAAAAAAAGAAAAAGAAATGGGTTTCGGAAGAGAACTTCCTTTGTGTTCGGTTACTAGGGTTCAGTACAGCAACCATGAGCTCGTAGAGCGCCCACATTTTCTGACTGGCGCCTCCAGCAAGGGTGGGAAAAGAGGCCAACCAATGGCCACCACACACAATGAGCCCTGCGACTGGGCAGGAGACAGCTTCTGTGAACCTGGAAGTGGGATAGGAAGCTTTTGACCCAAGGAGCAGAAGAATGGTAAAGAAAGTTAGGGCCGTGATGGCGAACCTATGGCATGTGTGCCACAGAGGGCACGCAGAACCATTAGTGCCGGCGTGCAAGCTGCGGGCAAACTTACCTCACTGCGCTTGTGCATGCCTCGCAGCTGATTTTCGGTGGGTTTGAGGCCTTTTTTGACCTTCCAAAGGCTTGAGGAAGGCTTCTGCAGGCCGAAAACTAGCCCCATTTCGTCACTTCCTGTTTTTCCGAAAATACCGGAAGTGACGAAACGGGGCTAGTTTTCGGCCTGCAGAAGCCTTCCTCAAGCCTCTGGGAGGCCGAAAATCAGCTGTGAGGTGCAGTGCAGGAAAGGGGGCGGTGGGTGGTGGGTGGGGATTGCACACGCATGCGTGGGGGGGGGAATGTGCACTACCTTCTGGGTGCCGGCACACGAGTACAAGCGTCCAAGCGCATGCACAATTTTTGGCACAGGAGCCCAAAAAGGTTAGCCACCACTGGAGTAGGGGATAAGAGAAAAGCTCTGTGTCAGGGCTCCAGTAGTGACCCCCATTTAAATCATGAGTCTCTAGCCTGATTGTCAAAGCTCAAAGATTTATTAGGAGAAGACATGCTGGCGCTGCCTGGGTGTAGCTGACTCTGAGACACATCATTCATTGTCGCTATTCTGCCTGTCCTGTACAATGAATTGTGTGGTGTAGGAAGATAATAAGGTCTCAACTCCATGATGATTGAAGAAGCCACATGGTAATGGCTTCAGGCAAGAGTGAGGAAGCCTCCCCCAAACCGAACAAGAGTCAATTTAGTGACCAATCAGGATTACAGATGTGACCACGTGACATGGACTACATTTCCCAGGATACCTTAACTACGTTGATCATGAGGCACTCCCTTAAGGGGACAGCTCTCAATTCCTAACTATCCCAAATCCCATAAACTCTAAACTGTCTGGACAGCACAGTCGCCCTTGACCCTGGTTTCCTCCCACTCCCTGGATGTATCATAATTCATATTCTCCAATGGGACACATCCATAGCCAAAAGTATTCATATTCTCCAGTTAGAACTTTGCACGGCAGAAACTTCCGTCGCCTGGAAACTATCTATGAAAACATTTATGGAATGCAATTTCGTTTTTGCAGCTTTCTACACTGCTCCCCGCTCCCTTTCTGTTGGCAACTCTAAAAAGAACAGAGAAATATTTTATGAGTTCACACCCTGTGTTTTTTTCAGAGTTCCCTAACAAGTCCCTGTATTCTTCTCTTACCCCAAGTCATGCTGGTCATCACCCAGGGCAGCAGGCGCAAGGGGGTTGCCTCCAAGCTGAAGAAGCCGCCTGTGCAGTTTTTTGGCAATGAAGTTGAACCTGGACCAGGAGACAGAACAACATGCGGAGCAGCAATTGAGGAGGAAGCTTCCAGAACGTCCATCCCCACAGAAACAGAAGGCGGAAATGAGTTACAGAGCAGGAATGGTCTTTTGGATCAAGGCAATGCAAGGAAGCACCTTGTTTGCCAGGACACCTCACAGGGGGACAATAACCTTGTTAAAAGCCTCCTCCTCTCACTGCGTTCGGAATGATAAACAATTCAATCCTCTAGGAAAAAGCAGAGCGCTATAATGGACAGGGTGGTGAAATGGCAATGTGTGTACGTGTGTGTACGTGTGTGTGTGTGTGTGTGTGTGAGAGAGAGAGAGAGAGAGAGAGAGAAAGGGGAGAGAGATAGGATGGGGAGGAATCTATTCAACAGCATCCTGAAGAACTTATTGGCACAGCTGGATGAGACCCCGGAACAGCGAACAGGTTTGTAGCGATAAGCACAACAGGGCAGTCTAAAGGCACCGCCATTTAATGGATGAAAGTCACTACCACGATAGGGCATTTAAAAAAAAGGCGGGGGGGGGGAGAAGAAGGTTGCAGGAGAAAGAGAGGCCTGCAAATCTTATTCAGAATATAGTGAATGCTATTCAAAGGCAAACAAAAAAAGGAAAACGTCCCATTCATGTAGCATTTCAATGACCTGTTTCTGTACAACTCTATAGCCACCTATAGCTAACAATACTTAGATCACCCCGTTAGCTACTTGTGCCCCACATTTCTTTTGACAAAGCTCTAGAGCCTAGAACCTGTGGCACGCAGAACCATTTTGTGCCGGCATGCGAGCTGCAGGCAAACTTACCTCACTGCACATGTGCGCACCTCACAGCTGATTTTCGGCCGGTTTGAGGCCTTTTTCAGCCTCCCAAAGGCTTGAGGAAGGCTTCTGCAGGCTTCTACAAGCTTTGTAGGCCGAAATCTAGCCCCGTTTTGTCACTTCCGGAATTTTCAGAAAAACAGGAAGTGACGAAACAGGGCTAGATTTTGGCCTACAATGCTTGTAGAAGCCTGCAGAAGTCTCTCCCAAGCTTTTGGGAGGCTGAAAATCAGCTGTGAGGCACAGTGCAGATAAGGGAGCGACGGGGGTGGGTGGTGGGTATTGCGCGCGCATGCGAAGGGGACGTGGGGCGGGGTGCACACTGCCTTCTGGGTGCTGGCCCCTGAGCACAAGCGTGCAAGTGCACGCACAATTTTTGGCACAGGACCTCAAAAAGGTCAGCCACCATGGCTCTAGAGCCCCAAAACCTGGTCAGCAGTAGCAGCCGCTGCTCAGAAGGCTGGAACTACAACATGATGAAGAACTCTGACTACCATGCTTGGCCTATTAACTTCCCTGAGAGAGAGAGAGAGAGAGAGAGAAGCGGCACTTACTTGGGATATGAGGAATCCCCAAGCCCCAGAACAGCGTAGTCCATCTGGCACAGGGAAGTGGGAGGCAAGTTCTTCCGGAATATAAACTTCCAGAAATTCTGGAAAATTAAAGAAGTCCCCAAAGGAAGACATTACATGGAAGTTTTTCCCCCAGGAACCCTATCCTGCTCACTGCATGGACTTTGGCGCCAGCCCTACTAGAGGGGGAACCAAAACTGAATGGCAGCCATCAGCCCTGCTGGCTGGCAAGGAAAAGGCAGAGCGGGGGGTCAGCCAGGTCAGCATTCCCAGGCTGCAGCCAGCCACACAGGCAAAGGGGCTCCCCCTCTGCCCCAGAGGCTTCCTAGGGTCAACTCGTAGACGGGAGGCTCTGCTGCCAAACGATTCGAGCCCAATAAAGTCCTATAATCAGGGAGGGAAAGGTTCATGTTCATGGCCTGTACCCTCCCAAGGAACAAGGGGAGGGGCTCGGAGCTGACCTTCATATTATCTGGAGGGTCTCCTTGTCCTGTGGTTGCACAAACAAAGATCACCAGCGGCTCATGAATCAGGTTTGCCTTCCAAGAAGCCATGCAACAAAGAGAGAGAGAGAGAGAGAGAGTCACAATCGGTTCCTCAACAAAGCCCTCAAGGTTCTTCACGAACATTGATTTCATTGCCACCCACCAATTATATTTGGGGCAGCTAAAATGGCAAAAGCACCACTTGTTGAGCTGGGCGGCTATTGAAATGAATTAAAATCAATAAAAAGTGAAACAAAAGGGCTAAAATGTAATTTAAAAATTAATAAATGTGAAAAGCAGTTCCCACTCAATTCAGGAAAAACCACGGTCTCCTCTGGCTGGAAGCTCTCCCTTGGGACCAAGGGAAGGAGTTCTTCCACAGGTCGGCTAGCTGGGTCTAGGCCAGGGGTCGCCAACCTTTTGGACCTCAGGGACCACCAAACTCATAATTTTAAGTCCCAGAGACCCTGGGAAAATTCAAAAAAAAAAAAAAATCTGCAGGAAAATTCCCCACCCCGTTTTCCTACCAATGGATCATTCTTTATTTGGGATCGCAGGATACCATCTCCAGCTCCGTTGTCACGGGGAGGGAGAGACTTTTGGCTTCATGCAAGGAAAGCAGCAGAAGTCTTTCTTTCTCTCCCCCAAATTCCACCAGAAATGAGTCTTTGCTGGTGCAGCCTCTTGGAGCAGGACGCCTTGCAGGATCCCAAAGACTCAATTCTGGCAGAGTTTGGGGGAGAGAAAGAAAGATTTCTGTTGCTTTCCTTGTGTGCAGCCAAAAGCAGAAGAAGAAAGAAGCGGAAAGAAGCAGTCCAATGGCCAGGCCAGGTGCGTGGGGTGAGTGGGGCAAGTTCCTCCCCTCCGCCCTTTCCCCTCTCCCCTCACTACCTTGTGTTGTTCGCAATGCAAGCAACACAAGCCTTGTGTTCCTGCACAGCCTGAATTAACTGCTTTGGGGGTGATATTTCTCTGTGCACCACCAACATTTTATCACAGACCACCAGTGGTCCTCGGCCCATCGGTTGGCGACCACTGGTCTACGCCACAGCTTAAGCTGAGGCGGGATGGCTTTCTATCGATATGTAAGCCGAAACCACTTTTAAGACCCTGAGCTGCTACTCACCACCTGGTAATCGTCCAGGGCCTCAACCTTACAGTGGAAATGGCATCGTTTGGCTTCTCGGCCAACCCTCTCGGCGGCATCCTGGGCAGTTCCTGTCTGGCTGCCATAAAGCACAAGCATCTTCCGGGCTGCCATCTAAAGGAGGGAGCAGGATGGAAACATCCAGGCATTAGGAGGCACAACTTTCCCAGTTTAAGTTGTCAGTGGAAACAGGGGAAAGAGAAAACGGATTTTTTTTCTCTCGACTTCAGCCCAGCTGTACCTACTTGCCGCCTCCTGAGCAATTCAAAGAAGATCCCAAGTCTAAACACGGACTTGTTTTAGACAAAACAGGTTGGTCCTGCCAAATTTACCCATGTATAAAATGAGATATATTGTAATGCCTACATGTGACCGTAGAAGCGTTTGTGGAATAAAATAAGATCTGTGCCCCTTATTTTATGTGTGTGTGTGTGTATGTATGTATGATGTATGTATATATGTACGTATATATGATGTACGTATATGTATGTATGTATGTATATATATATATATATGTATATGTATATATATGTACATATGTATGTCTGTTTTCTTATGTTTCCGCGGGTATTATATGTATGGTATTTAGGTTTCTTCGGGTATTTTCCCACGTCTTAGTATTTGTGCTTTTATTATAGCGACGTTTCAGCAGAATTTCATCTGCCAGAAAACAAATATCTATATATCTATATCTAATATATATCATCTATCTATCTACCTACCTACCCAATCTATCTGCCAACCTACCTATATCTATATCTATCACCTATCTATCTTATCTATCTCAAATATATATACATAGATAGAGGGAAAGATTTATATATATAGAGAGAGAGAGAGAAAGATATTTGTTTTCTGGCAGATGGGATTCCGCCGAAACATTGCTATAATAAAAACACAAATATTAAGACGTGGGAAAATACCCGAAGAAACCTAAATACCATACCTATAATATGTATATAAACACATATATGTATACATATATACATACATACGCACACGCATATATATTTTAAAACTACCGCTTAGAGTGTCTTTGCACATTTCAGGAATGCAGAGGAGGAGGAGGGCCGCCTGAGAGGCTCCCGGGGGGACTAGAAGTCACATCCAGCAGCTCCACACTGGAGCCTGGAGGTTTCAGGGAAGCTGCCCTCCCTCCAGATTCACGGTATCCCAACGGCACCTCAGTCTTGTGGGGATGCTCCCAACATTTTGAGCCCCGTCCGGAGTTACAGGCGCTTCTCTACGGCCAGCGACCTCGCCCCCTCCCCGCCCCCCCAAAGGAGCTCTCCCTCCCGGCCAAGCGCCGCGCCGCTTTGACGGGTCGCGGGAACAGCAGCTCCCCCGCCTGACCTCGTCCGTGGCGCCGGGACAGCCGAGCGGCGGATAGAAACGCGGCTCCGCGGGGAAGTGCCGGGGTTGCTTCGCACATCCCCGCCTCAGGCGGCGCGCTGGGGCGGAGGGCGCATGCGCGCAGCGGGAGGTGGCGGGGAAGCCGCTCTTGCCGGCCGGACGGCGACTCTCCCTCAGCTGGGGCCAAGCGCAGGCGCCGTCCCACTGGCCGGGGCTGCCACGCCCCCCCTCCTCCGTCGCGCGCGCGCGCCCGCCTTCGTCACCGGAGCGCGCCGGAAGCGCCGGGGCGGCTCCGCGGAGCCTGAAGCCGGGGATGTTGTTCTCCCTGCGGGAGCTGGTGCAGTGGCTGGGCTTCGCGCCGTTCGAGCTCCTGCTGCAGGCGGCGGCGCTGCTGGCGACCTCGGGGCTGCTGGCGCTGAAGGCGGACGGCGCGGCGGCCGGGCTGAGCTGGTGGAGCGTCTTCGCGCCGCTCTTCGCCGCCGACGGGCTGAGCACCTACTTCACGGCCATCGTCTCGGTGCGCCTCTTCCAGGACGGCGAGAAGCGCCTGGCCGTGCTGCGCCTCTTCTGGATCCTGACGCTGCTCAGCCTCAAGTTCGTCTTCGAGATGCTGCTCTGCCAGAAGCTGGGCGAGCAGAGCCACGAGCCGCTCTGGTACGGGCTCATCATGTCGCCCGTCTTCATCCTGCTTCAGCTCCTCATGATCCGCGCCTGCCGAGTCAATTAGCAGAAGGAGGAGGAGGAGGAGGAGGAGGAGGCGCTTCCCACTGGCAGCCTTGGCAGGAATGACCGGGACTCTCCTGGAAGACCCCCTGACCGGCTGCGGCTGCTTCCTGGCACCGAGGACTGAAAGCTCACGCCATGGCGGGGGGGGGGGGAGTGCTGCAGGGGCAGAGAATTGCACACACCGGTAACGGTTCTTGGGCTCTGGGGGCATAATGGCGGCTCTTCTGCCATTGGACTCTGATTTCCTGAGGGCCAGAAGATCTGGGCGAGCTCTGATTAAAATCAAGAATAAAAAAATGTAGAGCCAGTATGTAAGCCTCTTGCTTTTCTTCCCAACACTGAGATTTGGTTTTTAAATGTTGAAAGAAAAGCTTTTTGAGAAATAGCTGACAACCAATATTTGAAAAATGGCAGGCAGTTTTTTGATACAGGATTCTTTTCGCAAGGGTATACTTCCAAGTTATTGCTAACTGCACACATTCAACGTGAGCAGGGCTTCTTGCAAAGGGCAAACACCAATGAAACAGATGGCATATAAATTACAAGTGTGTAGCTGAAAATGAAGTAAGCGCTTGTCGAATGCTTGTAGTCCAGCAACCTCGATTGAAAGCTTGCGGCCACCGCTTCCTTTCTAAAGTTGCATCTTGTCAGGGGCTTGAAACATGCAATTTCAGGATTAAGGATTTTGATTTGGCTCGTGTGGGCAGCACGGAGAGATTTAGCTAATAACTGTTATGATCTGGATTGCTGGAAGAGTTCCAGAAGAAAAAATGTGAAAAAAATAGATGAGCATGTATCACAGCCTTACATATAGCTATATAACATGGAATAGAATATAATACTTGATTGACCAACTGTGATTGGACACACAAGGGTTTTGTTTTGGTGTAAATATTCTCAGTATACATAAAAGATACCTTCATCAAGAGTTGAGAATCAAGGTATGATACTTAATGATAGAGGGTACAATAAGCCGTCAAATCATACTAGGAAACAGTCAATATAAGTCGTAAGGATACAAGAGACAAAGTTACATAGTTACAAGTGGGAGGGGATAGGCGATAAGGAGTGATGAGAGAAGATTAATAGTAATAGTAGTGCAGACTTTGTAAATAGTTGGACAGTATTGTGGGAATTATTTGATGGTGTTCAGGAAAAAACTCCCCTTGTGTCTAGTTGTTCTGGTGTGCAGGGCTCTGTAGTGTCCTTTTGAGGGAAGGAGTTGAAGCAGTTTATGTCCAGGATGTGAGGGGTCTGTATATTTTCACAGCCCTCTTTTTGACTCATGCAGGATACAGGTGCTCAATGGAAGACAGGTTGGTAGTAATTGTTTTTTTTTCTGCAGTCCTAATTACTGTTTGGGCAATATGCTGACTCGTGGCCCGCTGGAACACGGCGTATTTAATTAACCCAATTGCCTGGACTCACAATACACCGACCCTATAAACAAAATAACCATATTTTAATTCGGGCGGACTAGTCTTGCAGGCAAACCCAGTGCAGCCTTAAATTTGCATGGCAGGTTTGGATGGGTTACGTTCTCAGCTTCTCTTTAAGAGCGCGTGGAGAAGGCCAGACACGACCCAGGGAAGGAAGGAAGCATGGGGAGGGCAAGCAGCCCAGAAGGGGGACGGCGGGAAGTTCTGTCCGAGTAGCTCTACCCTATCGCCCGCAGAAGGGCTGCGGCGCAGGCAGGAAAGCCGCCTCGGAGATTCCGGAGGCGAAAAGGCTGCTACATCGCTCCCCGGTAGCCCATCCTTGCCTGCCTCCAATTCCCAGAATCCCCAGCTAGCGGGAGGAAGGCTCCCGACCAATGGTTGACGAGTTTCTCCAAAAGACGCGACTCCTGCCCAATAGACCTCGCTTGCGCGCGCGTGGGCGGGGCTTCTTGCCCAGCGCAGTGCGGGGACGGGACGCGTGTCTAATTTGACGGGATTGTACGGAGCGTTGCCTTTAGGCCTAAGGACGTTTCCCGCTTAGCGCTGCGGCGCGCCCGAAGTGGCTTCCGCCCGAAGAGCGCCATTCCGTTCCAAGCCCTCCGGAACCAGAGTTCCGCTTTACCTGACGAAAAAAAAAAAAAAACCAATGGGAGACCTCGGCAATCGACTGGGCGGGGCTGTCCCGCCTCCCCGTCCAATGAATGGCGCTGTCGACTGAGACGGACGCGGCTCCCACGCTGAAATCCAGCAACGCCCCGAGACTTCGCGACGGGACGAATCGGGTTCGTTTTTGGTGCGCCGAGGCGGGACTCCTTCGCGGCAGCCAATCGGCGCGGCCTCTGGCCAAGGGCGTCTCCTCCGCGGCCGGTGGGCGGCGCCATCGCCGGCGGGCCCAGGAAGTGGCTGGAGGCGGCGGCGGCGGCGGCGGCCGGTCGGCCAGGTGGGAGTCTGCCCGCTCGCCATGAGCGGCCTACGGGAGGGCGCGCCGGCCGAGGCGCCGGCCTGGAAGCTGGCCCTTCTGGAGCGGAAGCGGGCCAAACTGGCGGCCGGCATGGGTCTGGAGCGCGGCCGGGGTTCTGCTCCGCGGCCCGGCCAGAGCCCCGACGGACGCGAGGCCGGGCCGGTGGTGGCCGAGAGCCTGGGCCCGCTGCGGGAGAACCCCTTCATGCGCCTGGAGAGCGAGCAGCGGCGGCGGCGGCGGCGGGGCGCCTGCGAGCTCCCGGGGCCGGCTTCCTCCCCCGAGTCCCCGGCCGCCGAGTCCCCGGCCCTGGCGCAGCTGCTGCAGCTCTACGGGGCCATGCCCGGCATCCGCACCATCCGCGCCGACAACATCCTCATCATCGAGTCCAGCGACCCGGCGGAGGCCGCGCAAGGCGGCGCCCTCGGTCGTCGGAGCCCCCTGCGGGACTTGCTCGCCCGCCGCGGCCCCCCTCCTCCTCCTCCTCCTCCTCCGGTCACCGAGATCCGCGCCGTCCAAGTCGTCGTCTACGAGCCCGAGGCGCCGCCGCTCGCCGAAGGCCCCGATTCCGGTTTGGTCAGCCGGCTGCTGCAGAAGTTTGACCGCGCGGCGCAAGGGAAGGCGGGGCGAGGGGGCGACGGCCCTGCCCTGCCGGTGCCTCCGCCGCCCGGGCCCCCCGCCGCCCGGCCGGCCCCCTCGCCCGGCCTTCGGGGCAGCGGCGGCGGCGGCGGCTGCGTTTTCTTGCAGAAGATCGGCTCCAACTCCTTCGTGGTGAATCCGCGGGGACACCGCGCCGGCCTCGCAGCCGCCCCCGCGCTCAGCAACGGGCGGGCGAAGGCGGCGGAGGTCGCCGCTCTCCCTCCCGCCAGCGGTGCCGGCCAGCGCGGGGTGGCTGCTGTCTCCAAAGCCGTGCCATCCTCCCGGAGCCCCGGGCCTTCCTCTCCACCAGAAGCTGAGGCGGGGAAGCCAAAGTGCGAGGCTGCTGCTGCCCCGGAGACCTCGCCCCAGCCGCCTGTACCGTCCAGTGCCACTCTGGACAGCCGGCCCTCCTCGCTGTTCAGCTCCAGCTGCTCCTTCGAGATCCGCCCGGTGCCGAAGCCCGATCTCGCCGCCATCCCTGCTCACGACCTCCAGGCGCGCGCCTTGGCCAGCCTGCGCCTCAACTCCCGCAACTCCTTCCTCTTCGTGCCCCATCGGAAAGAGGAGCCCCCTGGCTCTCCTCCGCCCGCAGAGGCCCTGCCTGCTGCCCCCGAGAAGGAGGAGGAGGAGGAGGAGGAGGAGGAGAAGTCGGTGCCCGTGACTTACATAGACGAGGACTTGGTGGCAGCCATGCCGCCCTTGAAAGTCTTAAGCCCCAGGCTGGAGGGTTTCCGTGTGCCCGGAGAAGGTGCCTTGACGGAGGACCCTGATTTGCCCACCTTTTCCGCTGCTTCCATTCCCCGCGCCAGCACCTTCACCGTAGTGCCCAAAAGGAAGCCCCCCGCAGCCAGCCCGGAGCCCTTCAGCAGAGCCTGGGTCCAGGAGGAGGAGGAGGAGGAGGAGGAGGATCGAAGCCAAAGGGAAGCGCAGATGGGAGCCCTCCAGCAGGAATCCGGTCGCCTCAAAAAACGCTACCCCACCGTCAATGAGATCGAAGTGATTGGCGGCTACCTTTCTCTTAATAAGTCCTG